TTCTACGAGTCTAGACTGGAATTCGCCGGTTGTCGAGGGGATGTCGGAGGGTAAGACGACTCGGAAAGCGAGCTGACTGCAGCCAAAAACGGATTACCGCTATTAGGTTCGACAGTTTCTTAATGGCGCCTCGACGACAGCGGGGAACGTAAATTTTCGTCGGTCGAACCGCTTTTGTCGCGTCGTAATCGAGTAACCAGCGAACAAGGGAGCGTGGAACGCTGCTTCCGAACTCCATAGAACCTTCAAGACCCTCGCTGAATTCATGGAACAGAAGCACGGAATCCTATGCTATCGTACACTCGAATTGAAACGCGATACACGCGTCCATACATCACGCAACTTTGCTTCTTACCTCATAAAAGGGTAGATTTATTTTGACAGAAGTATTGTGTGACTTGGGGGCTGTTTGATTTTTTTAGAAAATATTAGAACTTACCAAACTGGAAGGTTGTTCATTCTTGACCATCATCAGTTATTTCTGCAACAAAGTAATATAAACAATTGTAATGAATTCTTGACAAATTTTCAGTTAATTAGCTCTTTGTTAAAATTGTGTCTTTTTATTTTTTATTAAATCAGTTTGGTTAGACGTGGTCGGTGGCAATTTAATTAAGTCTCGTTCCAGTGTTTCGATTCCCAAAAATGTTTGTTTCCCTTCTGTCTGGTCATTTTCCCTTGTTACCTTGGCACCTTTTATGCCGCACTACAAACGCCTAATTGCCCCGAAACAAATGAGCCCCGGCCTTTCTACGTGTTTCCTCGCAAGGAATTAAAAATTTCACCGACCCAACTCGACACCCCGTTGCCCGACAAATTACGTTTTCTACCACTCGGCCATTCACGCCAAAATGCATCTGCGGGACTTTTCATTCGTTGCGCAACGAAATCGCAGAAGGAATTTATAATTTTCAAAAGGATTTTTATTCAACCACAAGCCTCGTGTAACCTTCTTTGTTTCTTATATCAATTTATCCTTGCATCTTGCATTCCTATTCAGGACATTAAATCTTGTAGAATTTCAAATAGAATTGCTGTAAAGTTGTAGATCAGATGGCACGTCCGATCGCGCAACAGCAGATCTTATCTGCCTAACCGAGTACCAGTGTATTTCATTTTGTCAGTCAAGTAGTACGAGACGATATCTAGGCAGCCGGTTGATATACGAGCGTATATAATCAGGCCGTAACGTAGAACCAACGTGTAGACGGAGTTGCATACGAAAGCATGATCGGTGTAGTGTGTCGCATAGTAAGTCAAGTGGAATAAGAAGTTACGAGATGCTGTAAATGAAATAGGGTCCTTTCACGTAGAATATGCGATACATTTTCATATAGGTACTCCCACAGAGAGGCGAGGCTTTCTGAGGTCTGATTAATTATAGTACACACTCCTTTCCATACACTCGTCTCCTTAAAATATTATATTTTTAAATTTTAACGTGGAGGAGGGTTAAAATAATAGTGTACATATTTCAGAATATTGGAAATAGGTGATTGAAACAATAAAACAGTTTATTTCTGAACTTCAACTTTATTCTTACGAATTAATTTTGATTTTAATAAAATCTTATAATACATCCTAAGCTAATGGTTATTTCCTACGCTATCTTAACCTTAGTAGTAATTCAACAGAATTTTAACTATTAATATTTTAAGTATATCTACTAATAAAACAGACCTATGCTTGTTAATCAACAAAGGACAGTGTCCCAAGTACAATAGAGTATTGCACGAGTACGTAGGTAGAATAGAACTGAAGTACAATTCAGCAAAGTAGAATAGAACTGAGAACAAAACAGTTGTACAGGTAAATCGAATCCCATTTATACGTTTTCTGATTAATAGAACAGAATTAACATGATATTGTGTAAGTGGAATAGGATTTCGTGTATACAGACAGTATTTGCATGTTGGCAGATTAGTAGAATGCAGTTAGTATACGATTAAATCAAGTAGAATAGGATTGTATACGTACAAACAGAATCAGGACGGTATATAGACAATTTGAGCGGCGAGGTTGTACGAGATTAGGAAAGTAAAACAGAGATTCCGTGTGAACTGATAAATTGACTATCAACGAGTAGTTAAGCAAGTTAAACAGTAATTGTGAGTTGTTTAATCAGTATAACAGAGAAGGCTAATAAAAAATCACTTACAATATTTTCATTAATTTGTAATTCACATTATTGGTGAATAACGGAATTAATTGAAACAAACATGGCTTATTTTCATGGTTATTTAATTCCTTTCAAATTCAATTTGGAAACAATTGAATAGTCTGTTATCGATTAGCAAACAAAATTATATAATAATGAATACAACCGTATCGTGTAGTAATTATTTCATGTTGTTCAAGGCTAATTAAGGATCTGTTTATGTATCATTTAGTCTCTATGCCGCGTCCGCCCATACATTGACTCGTACTACTTAAAATTCCTGAAACAGTATTCCAAATACTGTCTCTGATACAAACATCGAATCGATACGTTTATTAAACGCGAAACGAATTAAAAAGTAAGCAAATTGTTGAACAAAAGTTTCAGCCATTTGATACGTTGAAATGAAAAAATAACCAAAGTTGGCGTCCAGTTTGAATCCGTGTATGAAAAAAATTTTTTCAATATCCTGTCTACTCTGCGAGGGAGAGGATGGTTCGTAAATGTCAGCCGACGAGAACATGATAAAATTGCGTGAGAGTATAACATAATTAAATTACCCGGGGCTCGAGCTTGAAATGAAAACACACAAAGGTATCTACACGTTAAAAGTTGCGTAATGAATGTTGAAACTTATGCAATTATCGGGGTTACCCGAGTTTATAAGCGTCAAGGGACCGGAACTGACGTTGTCAAGATCTATTTTGTAATTAAACTTAGAAGACACGAGCAACGACCAACTTTGCGTGTAGACACTAAAAGGAGAAAGAGAAGAAAAAAGAAGTGTATTCCAAAGAAAGAAAACACTTTGAGGATGGTTCGTGCAAGTTAATTAGAATTTCGCTCGTCTAACTTTTCGTCAAAATGTTTACGTGCCTGACTTTTCTAAAGTTTCCGGTTAATATTGTGCGGGTTATGAGCGGAGTATGGCCCGTTTCCTAGCCGCAAGGTATCGCGCGTGTAACTCCACCTTTCTCGAAAGTGCTCCATCACGGATCTTGTTGATATACAGGATGTTCGATAACTGGTGGTACAAGCGAAAAGGGGGTGATTCTACATGAAAAAATAAGTCGAAAATATACAATAAAAATTTGTCATGTGAAGCTTTGTTTTCGAGAAAATCGACTTTGAATTTTCGCCGAGAGATCTTTTTAACCAACATTACCAAGGTTGGATCGGTCGTGCTGGAACAATAGCTTGGCCACCACGCTCTCCTGACTTAACTCCGCTTGACTTATATTTATGGAGTCATATTAAATTAACTGTGTATTCTGAAGAAATCATAAATTGCGAGCAATTAAAAGAAAAGCTTATTGTAGCCTTCCATACATTAAAACAACAGTTCATAGCGTTCATAGAAATTTAATTAGAAGAGCAGAATTATGTATTAGGGAGAATAGGCATCATTTTCAGCAATTTCTATAATAATATACTTTACGATTACTTCAACATCCTATTTCATTACGTGTTCCTAATTTTTCGCTACGATAAAAACAAACTTAAACTGCAATAATATCCATCGAGACAATGATCAAGTGCACGCGATTTTCTCGAAAACAAATTTTCGACTTATTTTTTCATGTAGAATCACCCCCTTTTCGCTTGTACCACCAGTTACCGAACACCCTGTATATATAAGATCTGAGAATATAGAACCCAGGCGCCTGGGGCATGGACCGTCCATGTCAGCCCCACTGACGAGTTCTAGTGGACGGTTCCCGAGACGAAACGCCATAATTTTTCCACTGGCATCCAACAATATTTATCACAGGATACCGTTGATAAATTACGTTCTACTTCGTGTCCGTTAAGAGTTAGCAACTCCGAACCCTTGCTAGCTTTCGATTTGATCTCTGTAGTTTGTTGCTGCAGATAGCAAGTTTCTACTTGTTTTAATCTTGCCCTCTAAGCTGCTTCGGAACGTTACTGAAGAGTTTCAAGCAGATTCGAAAGCCAACAGGACTTTATTAATTCCTTATCGGAATTCAATCTTGTCTGCAACACTTGCTGTCGCGTTTCATCCGTTAACATTCAATTTCTCGGTTTGTTAATTGGTTAGTTAGGTAAGAATTTCATTGACGTGAGCTGGTGGTTTACGTTAGCCGAGGGTGCACGTCCAGGAACACGGGTCCTGCGGACAAAAGAACGGAGAGCCTTGATTTACTACCGCGTATAATTTTCGTCCCGGCATTAAATTAATATTTCCCTGGACCTTTTGTTCGCTCGCTGGCACATAACTAACGAAGAAAAGAATCTTGATGAATGTGGTTCCTTTTGCGAATCACGTTCAGCTATAGAACGGTGAACGCTCGCGAAGAAACGAGCATGTCGCAAGAAAGGACTCGTCCTCTGAATGGAACATGAATCCTTGGTTAGATGGTTAGTTTTCGTTCGCGGGAAGGAATATTTGTTCTTCGGTGGTGCACTCGTTAAATCATCGTCATGGAAATGTTATTTTTATAAAATTTCTTTCACCCTTTTCGTCGCATTGTAAGAAATAGAATACCATTTTTCTATTATCGTGCTAGAATTTCATTTCACTCGCGCACGAAGAAAGCACGATACAAACGCGCGGATAAATGTAGAGGGGAAGTTTAAAAAATTTTAAATGTCGTCTGCAACTGGCCACGACTACGGAAACTTGGTTTAAAAGGAACTTGCCAGGAGAAGGTAAAAAGAAACGTAACAGAGGGAAGAGTCTGCAGTTGCTTGGGAAAGTTTGAAATTTTGAGGACGTGCGAAAATTTCGTGGAAAGTTTTATACCATCTAACACGATCGAACTTTATTTCTTAAATTTCTTTTTAGAATGGATGCTAATGTGATTATTTTTTTTATTTTCAGATTTGTTGCTCGAATTCTTCCTCTCGGACAACCTCTGACACTTGGGCGCTGATGGGTGTCACTGGTGAGTTTTTACCAAAATATGAACAGAAATGATATTTTTAGTAGATGAAAGATTTTCGAGATAAATGATAACATATACGATTATAAAAGTTCTTTCCCACGTGTAAATTGAAATTTAATCAGATCCCGTGTAAATCCATTCAATTTCAATTTTAATCAATTCCAGAAACTTTTCCCTTTAGTTATCTGCAAATGTGTAAATGGAAATTTAATCATTTGTTTATTGAATCCATTCAGCTCAATTATACGAGATCGTAACGCGTTAATGAAACGATTAAAAAGCAAGAAAAAGAAGGAAAATCCTCCTCATTAAGAGGTATTAATCTGAGTAATTAAATTAAAAATTAAATAATGTTATCTCTCCTAATTTTTATTGCAATATTATCAATTGATTATATATATTTTATTACTTTCTACGCCCACACAATGATTAACAGAGAAAAAAAAAATGAATACTTTTTATCACAAGCTCGAGGCTAGCAACACTCTGTCGATGTTTTCGAATAAAAAACAAAGAAAAGTTTGTAGAGGAGAGAGCTCGTTAAAACGTTGGCAACTTTGAAACAGCCTGTATTATAAAGTCGAGGGTTCTCTGGTCGACTGTTTCGTAAAGCATATTGATTTTCTATCGAAAGTATAGTCTTGAGATTCGACGACCTCGTTATCGTTCTCTAGGCCGGGCAAATCTGAACTCAGCCAAATTCAAATCGAATTTTCCTCTTGCATCGACGGGTTGCACGATTTCGAACCATTTCCGGGCCAAATACAATCGTTTACCTCCTTTTACCCAACACCATTTCAACCTGGTTAGACACTCGAAAGGATGTTTTCGTCCCCGTTTACTCACTATCCTTTGAACTAAATCCTACATTTTGCAACGCCTCACGCCTTTTCGTCCTTTCAGAACAATTTTATTTCCTCTTCAACACGGAGTAATATGAAAGAATCTTTTGAAAAATTGGTCCTACTGATTTCAGTTGTTTTTTTTAGAAATTAAGACCAATTTACTAACTAACGTATTTTAAAAAGAAAAGTATAGTGTATTTTTTGAATTTTTGAAGAATTTAAAAAGAATTTTTTGAAAATTGGTCCACCAATTTCTGTTGTTTTTTTTAATTTAAAAAATAAGACTAATTTACTAAATAACGTATTTAAAAAGAAAAGTATAGCGTATTTTTTGAATTTTTGAAAAATTTAAAAAGAATTTTTTGAAAATTGGTCCACCAATTGTTTTTTTTTTCTTTTTTTAGAAAATAAGACTAATTTACTAAATAACGTATTTAAAAAGAAAAATATACCCTTTCATGCGAAAGGGTTATTTTCACCGTAGTCTATCCTTGTATCCAAATTCACTTTTAATCGCGAGCTACAACGTCGACGTACAAGCGGCTCTTGATGGCATCGTTATCGCCATTATTGGCTTCATATTGGGTCGTTAAAGCCGTTCCAGTCGTAAAGCAGATTGAACTCGAGCCAGTATTTTGACGCTTGGTAATCCGGTCCCGTCGCATTTCGAATAATTTAAGCATTCAACAGACGTTTGTTCGTTCGTTGTGCCGTCTCGTTTCGACGAGCATTTTTGTTCGCGTTTTTCCCAACTGCCGGAATTACATCGCTCGCATACACGTTTCTCGGAAAAAAACGTATCTTTTTTCCTCTCTCGTGATACTCAAATGATTCTGGGGAACCTTCATAAATCTCGCTGTGAAAACATAGCGAAATGTTTCAGCAGCCATCCATCTGATGGACGTTCATTTTTAAATCGGACATATTTTTTTTTTTACACCGAAAAAAATTCATAGTTTAAGCTTTCAGTTTGATATATCGTGCTATACATTCCATCGATAAGGATTTATTTTTATTTTTTTTTTCCCCCCTAGAAACATAGGCTTCCGGTGTAATTATAATGTAATTATCGCGGCGACCACGCAGCTGTACACAACAGCACGATAAATTTTCGGTAATTCGTATTACTTTCGGTGCATTAGTCACGGTTAATTGCCCGGCTGCTGTAAATAATTTTTTAATGCGTAATTTCACGGATGTTATTACATCCACGGATTATAAAGTTGATTCGAAATGTACATATACGTGTTGCGATTCGTTATTCCGATGTCAGAGGAATGATTATTTTGCATAGTAAATATGAAACTGCGCGCGGAGAAAAAAACGGAGGAAAATGTCAACGTTCCCTGGTACAATGAATCAAGTTAGCGAACTAAATTTCATTCAGCTCGGTTTTTAACTGGATTTTCTCTGCCCGAAAGCGTACTCGGTTGTTCACGACATGTCAGTCGCTGTTAGGGCACCGGAAGCGACCCCGAAGTGTCTTGATTAAAAAGTTTTAAATCGTTTCCACTGTTGTATACCGAATTATTCACTATCGTACTTACGAGGGGAACTACCCCAGTGTAACGCTCACTTATTAATGAAACTTTGCCACCTTGTAGAGCTCGTCGAGCTGAACACGCCCATATCCCATTTTGGGGGTAGATGGTTAATTGTTTAAAAGATATTAACAATTAAAGTTAGTTACAAACTTACACATACAATCGGCTAGCTCTGCGGTTAAACAGATGACTCGCAAACTAAAGGTCCACGGTTCAAATACTTGGTTCCCAACTTTTTTTTTTTTTTAAATATAAAGATAATTTACAGCTGTAAATCATTGCATTTATTAATAATTAATTAGGTACGCTGCAATTTTTATAGAATTTAAGTTGTGTTTTCTATCTTCCGTATACCTCGTCTAAGGGTTAAATCATCCCTTGTCATAATTTTCAGTCGCTGAAAAATAGAGTTGCCAATGTACAGGAGAGCTTATTTACCGGGATGCAATCTCCCGATAATTAATCCTCTTCCCTCGCGTTGCATATTAACAGGAAACTTGCACTACCCCGAAACTATCTCTGTTTCTACGTCGCGAAATGTTTTCCTTCCCTTCTCAGCCGAAATTCGTTAATCACCCAGCTGTCTTGCTCGATCCTACGGCAACAGCCCACGTGGAAATCGATACTTGCCGGCGAACACCGGCTCCCTGACGATCCTTCAAAAGTTTCGTGCACGAAATTGAGAAATTAACCCGGCAGGATCGCGTTGAGGTTGCCGGAGAGAGGGGTGGTTTATACGCGCGCTAAAGGGTGCGCTGGGATCTTCCTGGTTGAACAAGGTGGCAGGAGAGCTGGGACGATGGCAGATATACGTCGGTAATTTATCTCGTATCGTATCGATTTGAATTACAAATTGTCCAGGATTATGGCTCCATGCTGGGCCCGGAGAGGCGTGAACCGTTTTACAGCCCCGGATCAACGCGTCCATCCCTACTATTTTATCCATCGGTTTCGGTTTGCAAACGTAGCGAGATCACTATAATTTTCAATCGTAATTGCTATTTGATGGAATAGATAAAAATTTCAGCGTCAAAATCACCTGTACGCAAACGGTGCTCGCGAAAGCGATAACGTTACCTGTTAACCACCGTGCGTCGCCGACTCTCCGGCATTCGGTACCGTTGAAAAATTTACCGAACACCGTGATCATGTTACCGATCGGAGAGTTGCATATCACTCTGATAAACGTTTTCTGCACGCAACGTCGTTTCATTATTATGTTTAATATGGTTTCGCGTTAATCATCGTCCGTCGGGGTGTATCTTAGCGTGAATATCGCGTGTTCGCGTGACGTGGACGCGGAGCTTTCTCGTAACGAGAAACGGAACTGCGTAGATCCGGACACGATAAAAAAGAACGGCGCGAGATCCGTTTGTTGTTGAAATTTTCAGCGAAATTCGACGATCGCGACCACGGAATTTTAAGTTCCTTAATTGGACGGAAAATTTCTTACCCTGCACAATTTTCTATTCTCCCCTGACGAATAATTTTCGATAACGATCACGGCTGAGCATCGAAGTAATTAGGGTAAACTGGCGAAAGAGGATGCTCAGCATTGAAAAGAATAGGGGAAATGCTGCGGCAAGGGAAAAGAAGAATCGTGAAATGTTTCTCGAAAATTTTACAAATGCCCACGGATTTACGTGAAACTTTTGAAAACAAGCAGGGAACCGGTAAAGAGGCCAGATCCGTGCCTTTGATGCACCTTCCAAGAGTATTCTATGGATGCAACCGCGATAGATGCATGGCTATAAAAGATCACTGTAAATTCTAGGAAACTCTCTGCTCGTATTTAAGACCTCTTAGAAGCGTTCGAATTGCATGCAAGTCGATGAGATTAATTAACCAGGCTAATTGGAAATCGGAAATTCTTTATTATCAGGCGTTTCGCGAAGGAATCTTCGGAATGCAATTTTTTTTTTATATTAAAAATGAGAAAGGGAGGAAGTTATGGATGGTCGGAGGAACGGAAAAATTTTCTCAGAAAATTCGTTGAGCTCGAAATTTATCCAGGGAGCCAGCCGGATGCTCGTTTGAGGAGACCGGGAGATTTAATATTGCAATCATGCTGCTCGGGTTATCGCAAAAGTGCATTATCGCTGTTCGTGCATTCGCGACGAATTCGGATTTTCTTGCCGAGTAATCGTGTTAGCCTGCATATTCACCAGAGATTACATATGCATCCTTCAGCATATCCGGAGACATGCATAACAAACGCGTGTACCTACATCGTCCTTACGTCCCTCCATGGAAAATCTCCAGAATGGGGTTACAATACCTTCGTTTTTATATCTGCATCAACGACCTTTTCCGTAACGTTTATCTTATTCCATTTTTTTACCGGACCAAATTCGACTGAATTTTATTCCAACCACGTTTGGGCAAACGATCGTTGCTTATCAAGTTTATGAAATGGACTGGTCAAATTTGTGTTATCTCTTTGAAATTTCTCTGCAGATTCGTGTTTTTGATAGAATTTTAATGAAACTTTTGGTATTCTTTAAAATATTACAAATTTGTGTACTTGGATATTCTTCGAAAATATTTCACTGATTACATTTATAAAATGAACCACGAAGAAACCTATTCAGTCGATGATCCATCGAGCATC